AAATTCCGTACGGGACTCACCGATTCACTGTTCGGACTCGCCGATTCCGTACAGTGAATCGTGAGTCACTGTACAAAATCGTCCGGTTCTCTCTAGAACCGGACGATTTCCTATTTTTCAGCCGATACGATCCACTTTTTGCGATTTCCGAGTCGAACCGGGCGAGTCCGGTTCGACTCGGCGTTTTTTAAAACACTGGTTCAAGGTATTACGGACCCTATTAATCTGGCTCATGGCTTCCAAATGATGGCCCCGAGGGTGGCTTGGATGGTTAGGTATGGTTCCTTGAGGAAGGTTAGAGTGCTTGTTGGGATCCTTTCACCTGAGTGTCAAGGAATCACTTTCAACAGGGTGAGGGTGAATCGGGAATTTAGGATTCAATTATTTTCAAGGTAATTTTCAATCTATATTTACAATATGTTCATTTTAAGTTTAATTAGGTCTAAATTTTTTAAGTGGGAGAAAAATACATTAGAGGGTTTTAAATTCATTCAAGGATTGTGTCAAGATCAACATGAAGTCGCACATCATGGACACCTACTGTTGAAACAACCTCTAGGTTTATGAGCATGAAATGCATAAGTGCAGGCTAAGCAGTAATTACACAAGGGTGTTACTTTTTCTCTACAGGGCTGTTGTTATTCAAACAATCGTAGTACTGTTGCATTTCTTTATTGCATATATAGAGGGGGTCCATATTTTACTATTGGTTACATTTGACATGAGATGGTGACCATCACTCGTAGTTGCCGGATGTTAAATTGGGCAGTTAGGAATGTGTATCATTGGCATGTCCCCCAACCACCGGATTTCACATCTAACGATAATGGGTGATTTTGGACGGTAAATGATATTATTTTACACTTCCCATGTATAAACCAGAATTCTAATATACTCTACATGGAGATATGCTACAATCTAGACTCAATGACACAACTGAGTTTGAAAATATTGAGAAGGTACTTCCTCTATAAAAAGAGAATATTGACATGATAATGTAATCCTGATTCTTGCCCTCTTGATGTATGCATCTTGTTGCAGTTTTCCAAGTTCAAGATACCCTTAACAGAAGAAACATCGATTCAAAACCATTACAAGGTATGACTCAATTAAATTAGTGACCATGGAAAGCCTAATGTGATGGTGGATGTGCAGGTAAACCTTCTTCATTGTCTGGAAGATCATGTTTGTTGAGAATGACATGGTTGTATATTGGACTTGGTACTTTTTTCTTAAGGTGAGTCATAAACCATTTGATGGTCACAGATAAATTGTTAGTGTTTGGAGGTATAAACATAATTAATGTTAAGAGTCTAGTATCTTTATTGTATAACAACTAAGATAGGAAGTTCTTCATAGTTGATTCCACTAGTATATGGCTTATAACAAAAATGGGAATGGATTCAACCTCTCTGGATTTGTTAGCTGATTCACTCATGAATAGATTTCTGACCTAGCTCTTGCTTTCATTGGCTTCATGGTCACATATCATGGCTTGGACCATTTATTTCTTGAAGTTGAATGTTGTTTTGCTATACAAATAGGCAAGTGATATATAGTTGGTTAAGTATGTGCCACTCTCTCTACCATGAACAATTGTTATCCCTTTCAGGATTCAATCCTTTTTATAAGATGTGCTTGTGCGTTTTAATTTCAATCCATGAGAAACACGTAAATTCAAGATGTCAATGCCATGGTTTTTCAAAATTGATGCCAAAAAGATTACCTAGGAAGAATGGGTTATAGTGAACAAGGAACTTGAAGATGCAAGGGTTAATGGATAAACAATCTTTCAAAGCCAGACCTGTTATTGTTCCAGCATTTAATTAAGGACAGAGACTCAAATCGGACTGAGTTTCGAACTCAATTGCAATCACATAGCACATCAAAAGTGATTATCAAATAAAAATCGACAAATCGATGCTTTGAAGTTCAGTGCAACACTGTGTCATTCTTTATCAAATTAATGTTTAGATACAAAGAAACACGAGTTTTGGTTCTGAGAATTCATTGATTCTTCTGCAAGAGAAGAGATCGAAGAGTGCTTGAGAGATCCATTTGAAAATTTGGTCATCTAAAATTATATGCAACACTTTGTAGTAGTTACATTATCACAACCTAAAAACTGTGTATGTTATGTCCCCTTTATGAAGCAAATATTCAATGAAAAATTTCACTCAAAACCCAAATTTTTTATCACAACGATCCAAAAACTCAATCCCAGCCAATGTTGCTATAAAACAAGAAATTCGGACAAAAAATCCCTGACCGGAAACCCTAAAATTTCATCTCAACCCAAAAAGGACCTCTCCCAATCCACCAAAGCTTTGAGGACGAATTTCCCCCATGAAATCTTCACCAAACGCCAGAAAAAGATATGGTACACAAAGCTGAGGTCCTAAGCTTCAAAAGCAATAAAATTTCGTCAAAATCCATTGAGAAAAACTAAAGTTAAGGTCCAAGAAAGTGAGGTTGAAAACACACCCAAACCCCCATGAAATGGGTTCATAGCATGGATCACAAGTATAGTGGTGCAAGAGCCGTTGTAGTCCGTCGATAAATTGAAATCGGACGGTCCATATTCAAATATTTGATAAGGCGGATCCGGGTGAACTTCGTTCCAGCCAATCAACGTCGACCTTTTGTCTAGCGTTCCGTACACGGTGGGTATATAAGCGTCGCCACGCCTCGTTTGAGCCAAACAAATTCGAAGCTTTTATCTCTCTACTCTCTCACCGAGATATATCTTTCTCTCTCTACTCTCTCTCCGAGATAAATCTTTCTCTCTCTACTCTCTCTCTAGAGTCTTATCCTCCCAGATATCTCTCTCTCTCTACTCTCTCTCTAGAGTCATATCCAGATTCAGTGGGGTTCTCTCCGTTTTGGTTCTATTGTTTGGGTTTTTCTTCGCCATTAGAAGATAGTCTCTCTCTTTCTCTCTCTAACTTTTGGTATTTGGATCTGATCATCAATGGCGCCCGCTGAAGAGGCTATCGTTATTACTGAAGAGAATCTTACAGTGGAGGAGAAAGGAGCAAAAGGGGGCCGATCCACGAAGGCGAAGACCCCAAAAGAGCCCAAAGCTAAGAAGCCAAGGAGCAGGGCAGCTCCTTCCCATCCTCCTTACATTGAGGTATGCCCTCTGAAAAATGTCATTTCTTAATTATGAATTTGTGTATTCTCTGTATCTGCAGTTTAAATTCTGTGCAAGTTATTTTGTTGTTGGACTCTCTCGTGCTAGGTTTTTCTCTATGATTGCCCATGGATTATGATCTTCCTATAATGTCTCTGAGTTTCTCTGCATTTTCTTTTGGAACCTCTCTCTTTCGAATGATTATTTCTTATTATCTTGTTTTGCGATGCCTCTGAGTTTCTCTGCATTACTCCTGGATATAATCCGTTTTGTTATCTCTGTTGGTTTCACCTGTATTTTGCATTCCGAATCTCTTCTGGAAGTAATGCGTATTTTTATAATGAAATCTCTCCAGGAAGTAATCCTTTTTTGTTGTCTATGCTGGTTTCACCCGTATGTTCTATTGAATCAGTGCCTTACTGTTATCTTCTATGAGCTTTGCTCTATTCTGTGTTCTTAATTCCTTAGATATCAATTGAACTCGTACCCCATTATCCATTTTTGGGTTTTCTCCGTAACCGAAGCTCTCTCAAATCAATTTTTCACACCGGTAATCAATTTGTTGAGTTATGTAACTGATGGCTTCCTCTGTGCTCTCTTTTTGTGTTATTGCTCATACCCCTTTGTTCGTCTCTGTTCCCAGGTGTACTTGTGTTCAAAGTATTTTCTCACATGTTCCCTCAGGAACACACTGTGATTCTTGGTACTTTGTGAAATAGACTTACTTAATAGCGTTTTATGGATCTAAAATTTAGGATACTTCTTTTTGAGAAGGAGACCATATGAGTGCTTGAAAATAAGAAGGTTGAATTTTAGTTTTAACACATTTTAAATGAAATTTTTAGCCGTATAGTGATAAGACATTATGTATGATGATATTAGCTTATGACATGTACTCTATAAACTTAGCCGAAATACCCATAAATATATCACACCATGGGGTTTGTAGGGTGTTTTTTCTTTTTCTGATTCTTGGTATTTTCATTTCATTGGCAGATGATCACAGAGTCCATTGTTTCACTCAAGGAGAGGACTGGTTCAAGTCAATATGCCATTACTAAGTTCATTGAAGACAAGTACAAGTCTCACCTTCCCCCCACCTTCAAGAAACTCCTCCTTTACAACCTCAAAAGACTTGTTGCTCAGGGTAAGCTCACCAAGGTGAAATCATCCTTCAAGCTTGCGCCGACTGCTAAGCCTGCTGCTGCAAAGAAGCCTGCAACTGCCCCAAAGCCCAAGCCTAAACCCAAGACCAAGTCCTCAACTGCAGCCAAACCCAAAGCCACAACAGCGAAGCCCAAACCCAAGTCCAAGCCAGCTGCCAAACCAAAGGCCAAGGCTGCTGCTCCTGCCAAGAAACCGGCTGCAAAGCCCAAGGCAACAACTGCAAAGTCCAGGCCCACAAAGGTGGCAAAAACCTCAGCTAAAACTTCTCCAGGAAAGAAGAAGGCTGCTGCTCCAGCAAAGAAGAAGCCTGTGGTTTCAAAAGCTCCAAAAGTGAAAAAACCAAAGACTGTGAAATCAGTCAAGGCAACCCCTACTAAGGGAAAGAGGAGTGTGTAGTCTCCGGCAAAGAATGGGACGAGGAAGACGAGTAAGTGAGGGTGGTTAGTTGGGTCGGTAGTGGTTTTTGAGGGTTGTTTTTGAGCCCGCTCTGTAAATTTTAAGATGATGTGTACTGGTGGTCTCTTTAGAGTGACTGTAACTGCGACTTCTTAGTTTGGATGTGGAGGGAGGGACAGACATTGGTCTTTGCTTTTTTTATTTGTTTCAGGATGGATATGGTGATGGATGGATCCGATCCGTTGCCCTGTGAATCACTTTTTAATCGATACGTTTTTATGCCTTTCAATTGATTATGGAAGAGCCCATTTCGTTTCTGTGCTTTTTCTTGGTTCTCTTTAAATTACTTTATTTGTTTCTTGTTTATGATGATGGATCCTTGCTTTTTATTATTTCTTTTGGAAAATTCAATGATTGTGGGTTTCACTGTTGGGTTGTTACTTTATGTTGAGAGTGGTAATAGCACTACCACCCTCCCTGTGATCATAAATTTTTCTTGTGTATTATTTTCGTCGTCCTCTCGGATGTGAGGTGAGGTGAGGGGGGAATTATGTATGTAATGGTGAAGGTATGAATTCAAATGTGAAAGTCGAAGTGTACTCCAGCTTGCGACCGCGTGGAGGGGGTCTAAACCCCCTTCGCAATTGACCTGACCTGACCTGCTGTGTTGCTTTTCTATGTGATGCAGCACAATTCCTATACTTGTGCTTAAGAAAACTATTATTACACTTCCGAAAAACAAGAGACTAAGGTGGTCTGTTCGAAAGCCTTGCCTCCATTTAAATATTATTGCAAGAGAGAAGCAGCATCGGGGCATATGGAATCAGCACCGTTGCAGGGGTGTACGCAGGCTCAAGTACACGTAACTTTCAATTTTGAATTCAGAATCCCATCACCGTCACATACGTAAACTGTAATAATAGTTTTATTAAGCATAAGTATGGGAACTGTGTTTTTCCTTTCTCTGTGGAATGGAAAATTCTGTTATTTTATGAGGGGATGAATGCATTTCTACATAATACGGACGGTTCAGAGTGTAAAGCGTCCATCTAAAACAATAGATACTAGGAGTGCATTTCTACATACATAGACGGTTAAAGCATCCATCTAGGAATGCATTTCTACATACATGTACGGTTAAAGCAGCCATCTCAAACCATAGAAACTAATGATTCGAATGCTTTTTTAATAGAATTATCATTTCTAATTTTTAAAATTTATTTATTTATTTAGTTTTTCATATTTATGATTTAGAGATTACATGTCTTTAAAAAATTAAGTCTAAAAATCCATGTCAAATTTTTTTTAATACTGGCTACATTTCTACATATGTGGGTTTGGCCTGCATGCCAACCGCGTCCTTTCTCTATTTGATCGGAGTTTTAAACTAGGTCATCTCACTGACTTATTTATCGGTACGATATATTTTGACCCATTATTGACTTAGATTAGGGGGATCTTTCGAGACCAGAGCAACAAGAAAGAGGCTATAAGTAAAACGACACATCTCTTGGGGATGAATATGAATTGTGTTTTTTTCTCTTTCAAATTTTCATCAATCAAATGGATTGTACAAACTGAATACCAACACACCTAAGAAAACATTTCGAGGTGAACCACTTGCTCACGTTTTAAATATTTTTCCCTAGGGGTCAATTTGGATCATGGGTTTTATAAAAGGAAAAATTTATGTACAGGGTGGGGTCCTAAACATTCAAATCAAGGCGACATCTCAAAAATTCATTAGAAGAGATCAATTCGATCATTTCGATCTAGATGTATGGAAATATATAAAATTAGATTTCCAATTTTCAAGATTTTCCATTGTTTATAGATTTGCATGATTTATACTATTTTTTAATCTTTTAATTTTATAATTTAAGATGCTATTTTTTTAGGAAAAAGTTT